GGGAGTGGTCTGTAATGAAAGGTGGGGATACCCAGGATAGGAATTGTTGGTTGGTATGGAGTGTGTGTAGTCAGTCCAGAGCCAATGGCACGCGGGCAGGGTTAGGTTTTGGTTAGGGTAGGTTATGGGTGATCCCCGGGTATTGGAATGTTAGCACTGCCTTAGGGTCCTTGATGGGTGTTGTGGGTTTGTTATCCTGTTAGTTAAGGACCTATAAGAGAGGTGTTTTTGAGTGGTACTCAAAGATTACATTGACAAAAAAAAAACGCCATCCCGATGGTTTCGAAAGCTGCCTCGCGCCTTGGCGGCCCACAGGGTGCAAAAGCTTAAAGTTTTTTGGTGGCCTTCTCGAGGGTAGGGACTTAGGGCGTTGGGGGGCGCAAGTGTGGGCCCGTCACGGCACTCGTGGGCATGGTTAAGAATCATCTGCCTCTATACAGTACGGCAATGAAAGTGATCATCAAAGTACCAGCGAGGTTTCGTGAACAGTGCAACCAAATTATGCGGAAAGCACGCTGCTCCATGAATGATGATGTTGGTATTTTTCATGAACACAGGTAGGTCATGGAATGTTTCGAGTGCATTATGTATAGATGTAATTTGGTATTCGCAGTGCCATGAATTTTTGACCATCTTGTAGTTGAAACCAGGACCTCTGAGCAGAGATGGCAAAGTACACACATCCTTTACTCAAGTAGAAGTACAGATACTGGTGTTTAAAAATACTCTGGTGAAAGTAGAAGTACTGCCTAAACTTCTTTACTCAAGTCAAAGTAAAGAGGCTTTGAAATGTACTTCAGTAAAAAGTACCCCTAACTAGCAGCTGTTTTAAAGAGTACCTGACCTCCCTTTATATTAATAGAACAATAATGTCATTGTTAGCTAATGAATGTTTCCATGCTGACCAACGGCAACATGACAACGTTTTCATTGGTCCCTCTTCTTTAGAGAAGACCAGGAAAATGATGGATACACGGATCGTGTTCAAATCAATAGGCACGACAATGACTACTAAATAATAATGATCACGCCACCAAACACACATTCAGACTAAAGGAACCAGCCTGTTTAGGAAAATGAGAGAAGTAGAAAGTACAGGTATTTGTGTTCAACATGTGAGAAGTAGAAAGTACAGGTATTTGTGTTCAACATGTAAGAAGACTATTGGGGACATATTTTCCTAGTCCCATACCTCTGACCCAGTTGATCAGTCTGCCCTCACTGAGCTCAGGCCTGCACCTCGGGCTGCTCTCAGTGTGTTGTCTCCCTGTTCCTGCCTGTTGGCGTCAGCTGATAGAGGCTATAGTGCTTTCTCTTGTTATGTTGATTATTCTCTCTGAGCTAAATACACGGGTCTGAGTTAGAGATCTTCAGAACATGTCTTCTTGTGAATTCTCCGGCCGAGGCTCCAAATAAACCATCAGTGTTTTCCCTCAAAGTTCCTGCTCTCTCCGAGTCTCCATTGATCCAGAAGTTTCCATCAAAATAACAACGACGGCAGTTTCATTCAATTAGAGCCACACACAGCACCACCCAGAGGTCGCGTTAACCGAATATTTTAACAATGACGGAAAAATCTGAAAGCAGTCCGTCATTTTGACAGATTAGAACAAACTCTGATCAGCACCAAAGCTTCCCCGCAGCGAGGCTCCGGTGTCATGCATGCCCGCCAAAAAGGAGATGATATTGTTTCCAAACCTAACTTTGCCGTTCAAATCATCGAAATGTCTGCGAGTGCTTTACGATGTGGCGTGCTCCCGCGAGGTGCAGTGGGCATGCATAACACCGGCGCTAACAGTTCACGAGCGTGCTCTACCCCCCCCCCCCACCACCGCCGTCAGAGTTGTGTACCACCATAGATATATAAAGAGCACCACACACACTCTGCAGTGGGCGGTTATCATAGTGTACACCCGGCGCCCAGGAAGCCCTGTGAGGGGCAAATAAGAGCCAATGTTAAAACAATAACGCATACAAATATAAAATCCTCTTGACCAGGGTGAGCAGACCCTCTCCTTGCTCCCATGAGGTCTGATACGGGCCTGTCCCGCTACTAAATGATGAACCATCCAGATCTCTCAGGTCTTCAGGGACTGGTCAGCTTTCTGTCCCCAGAGTCAGAACTAAACATGGAGCGTTCAGTTATATCTGGAACAAACTCCCAGAACCTGCAGGTCCACTGAAACTCTGACTACTTTCAAATCCAGGCCGAAGACTTTTCTTTTTGTCGCTGCTTTTAAAAATTGAAACTGAGCGGTTGTGTTTCGTTTTTGGTTAGTGAACATTTGGGGCTAGTAACCCGAGGGGATCAGAGTCTGGGGACTTTGTCCTGGCTGCTTCTCTCTGTGTGTGCTGCTCGGGACGTACACAGCTCATGTTCGGAGAAACCTTAAAGAAAGGCATCAGTAAAATGGAACTTCTGTGTGAACTATTCAGATCTTAAACTGCACTGTAACTTTTTATTCATGTATTTTTAATGTTTCTTTTATTATCTTTTCTTTTTAATGACTGTTTTTAAAATTCTTTTGTCTGAATGTCTTTCATTTTTGTAAAGCACCTTGAATTGCCTTGTGTTAAATAAACTTGCCTTGCCTTACTATTATATGCTACTATAATATAATAATATTATTATTTTATGTACTCTGTGACATTTCTGTTTTTTTTGTGGTATTGTATTTTTAAACTTCTTTATCAAAACGTTTGTAGATATTTCAAGTAATTCAATGACTCACAGGAGGGCTACAGTGTGTTTTTTATAAACTAAGCTTTCTGTCCTCCTGCTTGAACTCACTTTTTGTACCTTGTCTGTGTATTAATGTTGAATAAAATCATAAAATACTTGGTAACTGATGAGTTGTTGGTTCAAAGTTTTTGGTGTTATTCTTGTCGTATTCCCTTTTTTTAATATACATATTTATTTCTCGTATTTTTCTGATATTTGCTCCCATTTCACATTTTATTTGACAGTGCTCTTATAGTTTCTCCTTTGTATGTATAGGTACATTTATTGTAACCATTTTTATTAATTTATTCTATTTAATTATATATTTTTATATACATTTGTTTTACGTCTTGTAATTTCACTGTTGAGGAGCCTGCGACCTCAGTTGGTCATGCATTACATAATCACACTGTAGTTGTGTTTATGTAATGAAAAGGAACCTCTGAGTCTTGAACCCTGATCTAGTGGGGCTGCCCCTCCGTCTCACCTTGGCCCACCAGCTGGAGAGAACGAAGTAGGTGTTGACGTTCTCCTCTCCGAACTGCTCGGCCACGTAGAGCCCCAGAGAGCCGTATTTGTCGTAGATGTTCCTCTTGGTCGGGTCGTTCAGGATGGCGTGAGCGTTGTTGATCTCCTTGAATTTATCCGCCGCCTCAGGGTTTTCGGGATTCTTGTCGGGGTGGAACTTCAACGCAAGTTTCCTGTGGAGAAAATCAGCGGAAAAAGACAATGAAATAAAATATAAAATCACATTACTGCGGGAGCTATTCTGAGAGGGGTAAATAACCATTTGTGCAAGAATTGAGAATTTAGTAAATATCTGTCAGTCGGAGGAAGTCGTGTTGAGCTTTGGGAAGTATTGAGGATATTTGTTCAACATTATTTGACATTTTTTAGATGAAACCACTTGAAAATAATCCACAGATGAAATCAAAACAATAAGAAACAAGAGAAACAACAATACAAGATGAAAATAAGAGTGTGGGAAAACCGCTCATGTGAATTAAAGTGGGAGAGCAGAGGGAGGTTAAAGAGGAAACATGGAAAATATCTGCAGCAAATCAATTAAAATGTCCAATAAATCAAAAATACTGTTAAAAAAGGAGCAGTATATAATAATATTAATATATAATATAACTCAATATATGCGTTTAGAAGGAAGTAAAAGGGCTGTGTAGTTATAACGTGCAGTAACAAGAGGTAGCAGTCTGATTAAATGTGCAAAATAAATACAGTATATCACAAAAAAATGCAATAACTCAATTTTTAGTAAATAAATAAAAATATTACAGGATTCTAGTAAATATCTAGTATATATATAAGTGCTCCTTTAGTGCACAACGTGATTTGAGACACAGCACTGCACTCCAACTGAGCTCATTTTCTCCTAATTTGCTTGTCTAAATGTACTTTATTTGCTTCTGAAATGCAGAGAAGAAATAGAATAAAATGGTACCTCAAAATTGTACTTAAGTACTTGAGTAAAGGCATTGAGGTACATTCTACCTCCAACTGTATATTTGCACAGAAAGCTTGCCTCTCTTCAGTGACACGTCACACATGAGGTTAAATGTTAGTTGTCCTTGTATCTTGTCTTAATATTTGTCTTGGGTTGATGCTGCAAATGGAGCTGCTGTAATGCAGGTACAATTTCAGACTTGATCGTAAGCACATGTATGTGTGTATGTATATACTGTATGTATGGTTTGCAGGGGGCAAGTAGTGCTTTTTTAAATCTGAGAAAAGTGTCCCCACGTCTTCTAACGCAGTGTTTGTGGTATTAATCAGAGATGGCAGAATACACGCATCCTTTACTCAAGTAGAAGTACAGATACTCGTGTTTAAAAATACTCTGGTGAAAGTAGAAGTAGTGACTAAACTTCTTTACTCAAGTCAAAGTAAAGAGGCTTTGAAATGTACTTCAGTAAAAAGTACCCATAACTAGCAGCTGTTTTAAAGAGTACCTGACCTCCCTTTATATTAATAGAACAATAATGTCATTGTTAGCTAATGAATGTTTCCATGGTGACCAACGGCAACATGACAACGTTTTCATTGGTCCCTCTTCTTTAGAGAAGACCAGGAAATGATGGATACACGGATCGTGTTCAAATCAATAGGCACGCAATGACTCTAAATAATAATGATCACGCCACCAAACACACATTCAGACTAAAGGAACCAGCCTGTTTGGAAATAGAAAGTACAGGTATTTGTGTTCAACATGTAAGAAGTAGAAAGTACAGGTATTTGAGTTCAACATGTAAGAAGTAGAAAGTACAGGTATTTGTGTTCAACATGTAAGAAGTAGAAAGTACAGGTATTTGTGTTCAACATGTAAGAAGTAGAAAGTACAGGTATTTGTGTTCAACATGTAAGAAGTAGAAAGTACAGGTATTTG